AGACAAAATTTAAGTAAAGCTTAACATGCCGATCTTGCCCCGATCTCCCCTATAAAAGAACAAGTCCTGATAGGATAATTAACGCAAACCCAAAACTACTGGTGCTAGAATCTTAAAATTTTGAGGGCGTGTTCCTTTTGTAAAGTTTAGACGCACTAAGAAAAAAATTTTACGAAATTAAACCCTAAAGGAGTGAAAAAGGGTAAAAAATTTGTATGAAAACTGCGTGGGCTTGTTTTACTGCGTGGGCACATTAAATCGAAACTTAGGTCATAATATGTGAAAAAATAATAATTAATGATCTGTAATTTTATGAAATTATCCTTTATTATAAACTTGAATATTAAATTAACTTTTTTGTTTCATTGTACAAAATTATTTATTATAACTGAAGTCAATAAATGGTAGGTTATGATGCAGAAAAATCAAGTTTTCTGCATTAATGAAAAAAAGTCTGTACCTCTTTTCTTCGTATACGTTTCCTGCTTCACTAAAAAGCCTCTCTGAATACATGCTGCTTGCAGTAGCTGATAAGTACTTAGCAGCCAGTTTGACTAAACATGGGGAAAATTTAGATTTATGTGTAGCCCACCAGGCAAATGAATCGTCGTTTCTCTTTAAAGTTTTCATGCTCAAGTACATATCAAGGTCACCTGCTATGATGTTCTTTGAAGTAGAAGCTATTCCAGGTACGTCGGACGTTCAGCGCCACCTTGCTGTAAGCCTAGACGTTTGACAATGGCGTTTGGAACGTCAGTGGAATCATGCTCGACGTTCCAAACGCCATTGTCAAACTTCTAGGCTTACAGGAAGGCGGCGCTGAACGTCCGACGTACACGTTTTCGCGTTGAAAACTTCGGCCGCAACCTCTCTATTTACAGGTGTAGGTCATTTCATTGTTATCCACATTTGATATCATCACTTATAACATACTGCCATGACGCTAATGTCTGTCCGCTACAACTGTCAACAATTAACGCGATTGGAGAAGTATAGTGACAGCAAGCCAATAGAGAGCAGGGTGCGCGATTCTTGCCATATAATGCGATTTGCGCGCCAATTTTCGTACGTGCGTTAATGAAGCCGAATAGTTTGGCCGAATATTCGGTATTCGGCCTGAGGCCGAATATACTATTCGTTACATCACTACTCTAGACAGATCGCCCAAGTGTTGCGTCGCCGTAAACAAACAGAAAACAAGATGGAGCTAATCTAATAAATTTGTTACTTTTTTATAAACATTTTGAAAACACTATACAAGTATACAGTGTAACATTATAACGAACAATTATTTTATTGTGACATAGTCACATTGCTGGACTACAATTTTAATCATATTTTTTAATTTAATTTAACACATATGCTCTCCACCTTTAAATTAGCAGTGTCTTGCCCTGTATACCAAATTTATCATTTGATTTTCATTAAAAATAGCAATTAATGATAATTTTGAAGAATTTTTTGCCGAAATTTAAGACAGAACTTAATAATATTGAAAAAAAAAATCTCCGTGACTTGTTTTAAGAAAAAGAAAAATTACACTATTAAATTTTCATTAAATAATGAAATTAAAAAATTGAATTTTAAGAAATTAATTACAGTCATCGATGATTCATATCGTGACGTCGAATGACGCGACGATTATGGCGCCACTAAGTTCTGAATCGGTAGTCCTGTCATTGATTGGTAGAACCTTCCACTTTCTTTAATGTAGGAAGTTACAAGGAGTTGACGATCTGTTCCAGGCTTTGCCGAGTGGTTTATAAAATAATATGGGACAAATATGAGTGCGTAAACCAATTTGTTCGAAAACTGAAACGTTTTAAAACCAAAGTTTGACTGTGTTTTTGATTTTCCAGAAATGAAACGAATGTGTTTTCTTTTATTCTGAAATACTTCTCTGAAATTTGGGAAATGTTTAACGACTATATTAAACGTTCCTAATATTCCTATTGTGTATTCTGTTTTATTAACATCCTGTTATATTTAAGTTCTATATTTCGCAGTCTCTTCGGAGTTTGTAAATGTATTAAATGCAGATTATATTATTTAAAAGCGATATATTTTAATTTATTGTTGTTCTTTATGTAATTGCTCTGTCACGTGTCGCATCTAAAGTACAGCGCAAAAAGCTTGTCCGTACTACAATGTGCTATTCCCCGACCGAAACAATCTTAAGCAACGCCGGCTCCAATGATAAACAGTCGATAAGTGGTCACATGAATCTCCCGCGAAGAATTGTAGACCTATAAATTCCCACTGTTATCTGTCTTTCCTTAATCTCAAGAACAGAGTTAATGATGAAAATCAAGATCATATATAGAAACCTCAGGGGCAGGAAGCCGCTATTAAATATATGATGACTTCCGACGCAAACTGGAAGTCACGTTATTTCATTTCGAAACTTTTCCCCTGAAAGGAGTTAGATAGATGACCGGCACGACTCATTTGCTAAAAGAAAAGTATGACGTACAGGGGCAAGCCACTACTAATTTGAGATGGTGAACACATATTATAAATTAAGTAAATTAAAAATATGATTAAAAATTGCATCTCGGCATAATTTTTCGTTTAACTTTTGGAATTTTTTCACGAGTATATTATGGAATAAAAAAGACAGACAAAGAGTCCCATGGTCAAAGATGTAAGGTTACGTATCTCAATCACTTTTACGTTCATAATTTGTAAAATTATTTGATTCCGGGTGAAGGCAAATGCCCCGCTTTTAATTCCTCTGTGGACGCCTATGACCACGAATTTTATTGAAAATTTTAACTCACCGATCTTGCAACGCCACAAAGATCCACGGCTACATCGGCAGCAGAATTTCCCGTTCCGATAATCAAAACCCTCTTATCCCTAAATTTCGATGGTTCTTTATAATGGTGAGAATGTAAGACGTCTCCTAGAAACATCTCTCGACCGGGAAAACTCGGATAAAACGGTTTACTGCAACTTCCCGTACAGACCATAATGGCATCGTAAACGTCTTCCTCTTCTTCGTTCGTGTCGACCACTTTGGCGACGACTTTCCATTTTCCAGTCGAATCGAAATCTTCTGTTTCTTTGACGAGAGTCACTCTTCTGCCGAATCGTACGTGTGACATCAACGAATACTTCTCCGCGTATAAGCAGACATATTTGTAAAAATCGGCGTGAGGCATAAATACTGGAAATTCGGCAGGAGGGGGAAAGTCGCTAAAGACACTCATTTCTTTGCTACTGTTCATCACTGTGCTTTTACTTACAGATGCCACATAAGGTATATCTTCGTATCGATATTTCCATAAACCTCCTATGTCCTTTGTAATTTCGTAACAAGTAACTTGCAGATTTTCTTCTTTGCACGCTTTAATCGATGCCAAACCACTTACTCCCGCACCTATAACGGCCACTTTCTTACTGGAATCCATTTTAACTCTGACAGAAATTATCGCGTTACGAATTTATTTATCAACTAAAATCACTAACAATTTATGATAAAGAGGTCCAAAGTAATTTTTCACTCTGCAGAAAATGATAAAGAATATGTCGAGTTTCGATAAACTGTTTTGACATGTTAAACATTATCACTCTATATATATATATATATGATAATTTAGTTTCGTAATTTGTTAGAGTTAAATTAAAAATAACTTGTAAGTAGGCGATAGAAATGTTCATCAGCACATATTATTTTTGCTTAAATGAGTATACAAAAGCAATGCAATGTAAATCAAGAAAAAACGACTCCGTGTGAAACTGAAAAATAAATGATAAAAATATTCAAAAATCTATCTACGAGTTGCTTAACTTTCCCGGCAGCATTTAAAACTACGTCTTAAAACATTTTATGTTTTCAGTTATTAAAAAATAGCAAAAAGCTTAATTTTGAGAGTAGGGATAAGTTTTATAAAAGATTGTAACACAAACCATATAATACTGTATAATTTTGACGTCACGAGTGACGCATTTGTTGTGACACTAACAAATGAATCGTTAACGACACAAAAAATTACCGGATTCACTGTAGATTGTATGAAACTGCGTATTTCTAAACGTTGGTCGCCATATTGAAAAATAAATTTTTGGCCGAAATTCGTGTTTACTTTCGGTTGATTTTAACAATTTTTGTCAAGTATTTAATTAGGAACGTCTCAGGAATATAATTTTTATCTTTTCATTTATAAGGGATAACAAGAATTCGAAGGCAAAAGAATATTTAATTAGAACATCATTAAAAATTTACATTTTAATTTTCGTTAAGAGGGTGAAATTTTAATAAATATTTTCAATTTAAGGCTAATTCAATGTTATTTAGTGAAAGAATACCAAACCAATATTTTGAATTTATTTAAATCGTTAAACGTACATTCTAAATGCTTTCTCCTAACGTAAAATATAGTTACAGAATGCCTTTTCATTTAATGTCAATAACATTTAGAGGTTTATAAGATTTTCGCATAAAAAAAGCATTAGGTATTAAGACCATGTGATGGAGATCGCGTGCCTAACTATTTAGAATTAAGGAGGTCATTGCAAAATTAACAGGACTACATATGCAGAAACATACAGTATTTATATACAGAATACTTTAAACAATATTAATACTAATATGGAATTGCTTTGTTATGCAAGATTTGTAGAGACAGGTTGTCCTCTGCGTAGTTCACAACCAAGAAATCATAACATAATTACAGTGTTTCAAAAAATACAACCTTTCTACTATCTCATTGATTATATAAGTGTTACTGCTTTTTGAAACAGATGGTATATTTGTGATAAAAACTTTTTTAAATACATACACTTCATCGAACATTAATACAATTACTGTAACCCAGTCGTAATTGGCCAAATGTCAAGAATTTGTGATACATTGAGTTTTGGTGCATCAATTCTTCTAACTTAACAGAAAGTTAATCAACTAATCTCATCAATAAAACGTTTACACACTGAAATTCGGTTAATGTGACAGAGTTAATCGGATGTCATATTTTTCGATACATCGAATTGTTTACTTCTCATCTTTTTCGTTCAAGAACACCGGTTAACTGAATTACGGATGATAACACCGAATAAAGACCACTCACCACCTGTAAATTAATTACGATATTAATACGACATTTATTAATTTCTATTACATCATGATATAACTTACTCTAATCACAAAATTTTTCTTGACGAAAAAGAATCCATTCACACATATTCCGAAAGGTCTTCGGCCAAATTTTTTCATAAAATCGATAATCTGTGTTCAACACAAAACATATTTTGTTAATAACAATATTAAATTGTTATTTGTTTAATTAAATGTTATTTGTTTATATTTTCTTACTTTAAATTTGTATTCTAAAGGCAGATTACTAGAAGAGAATCTTCCCACAGAAATGAAATTATCGTACATCTGAAAAAAAAAACGAGAACACGTTTATAAATGGTAATAATTACGATAATACAAAATACTTACAATTGAAGTTAGAATCGATAATGCCCTAGAGACTGCAATACATCCGATTAAGAGATTCACGGCTATAATTATTGTGGCATTTTTCAATACCGGCATCATATCCACAAATATGGCGCCGTACAATACAAATCCTGTCACGTAAATGAAATGAGCATAGATCGCCGGTAGTAGAACATCCCATTGATTATTAAGAACAATGAAAAATCTTTGTATTTCAAGATGCTTGTATATAAAACGTTCCAAAAACGAATTCAACGAAACGTCGTCGGTTTTTTTTTCCATTAATTGATACGTCATCACGACATATCTTTTTCCCAGAATGAAAAAAATCGTGACGGATAAGACGAGAACAGAAAATATCTGACCTGCACTGTAAAAGGCCCAAGCGTACAATTGAATGCTTCCATTTCACTAGAATTTGTAAGTAAATGGGAATAACAAACAGTGAATAACAATAAAGAAATTGTTATCATGTTGAAATAAAATAGCGCAAGTATTTTAATTAGGTGTGCTTCCATTTCCATTGCCAATTGGTCTTCTCTTTCGTAACTGCTTTCATGAAAGTGGAGCGATAATTTACTTCTCTTCGTGACACTGAATTGATAAGCAATGTACATCGATGTGATTAATATTACAAAAATTGTCTGTCTTCCATAAGTGTGGAACAAATAAATGATTTTGCCACAATAAATCGAATCCATTGTGGTAATTAATGTTAAATGAATGACAATGTACCATAAAAATACTTCTATAATTCGAGTATACCAGAGGAAAGGTGTTGAAGAGGCATTTAGATGACAACACGGATGAAACAAGTCCACTCCAAATACTTTAACAGCGGAAATCAATGGATTCATGATACGTGAAGGACAGGCGTGGCGTTCAGAATAAGCGGTGTCAGGCATTGCTTATGAACTGTTTTTTAGTGATTCCTGAAACTCAGATAAAAAGCAAATCTTAAATGCTTAAATGTGTTTGTTCATGCATTTATTTTATGAAATTAACTCATAATATTCTTAGAATTCACTCATGTTCTTAAAGCAGTGGCCTCGTAAATAAATCACTCGGGTTTGTGTTATATCATCGGGTTGTCACGTGGGTTACCAGTGTTTTAATCATGAACCCTAACACCTAAATAAACGCCAACTTCTCCGTACAAAATCATACCTGGAAGCATCGTTTTTTGCAGATCGCCAAAGTACTACGTTCCCTTATACTATAAAACAGAAATTTCAATGGTGAAAAACTAAATAATTCTGACGTTTTTCTGATCTGACTTTTCAAGTGATCAAAGACAACTAAGTCTACAATTTTTTTTTATATTAAAGCAAAAGCTGTTGTGTAATACCCGTAAAAGCATTCTTTTAAGAATCGAAGAATGCTTTTATGTAAATTGCTTAATTAAAATTTTATGATCATTTTACACGACACGAGGAAACATGTCATTTAATATTACTGTTTGGGTTTATTCATAAATATTTCATTATTGTAAACGCTGAACGAGCATTTGAAGACTTAGAATTTCAGTCCGTATACATAATCTAATAGCTCAATCTTTGTATGTTTATTCTCCTTTTTAATTTATAAACACCTACAGTATTATAAATAATGCTTAATTGCCTTATATAATACTGTATGATATGGGCCTATTAGTGGCCAGCTGTTCCGTTTCCTGAACACTGAGAGTTCGGTTGTGAAGATTTTCAGGTTTTCTTCACGTCTGTAAGGCATGAATACTGGCTAGTTGCTCTTAAAAAACCTTCTGGGAGGCATTATTCCCCACGTACCGACCATCATAAATGCATACAATTACAATTACGTTACATTTTACCACGGGACTATACAGCCTAGAAGCTCATGTCCAACTAGCTGATACAAGACAAAACTTTTGTTATAATAATTCCTATTACAGTAATTAATTTCAAGCTCATTCAGACATTTGTATCAAAAAGTAAAATTACGAACAGATGATTTTTAAAAATTCCAGCAACGAGTTGTCTAACTTTCCGGCAATATTTCATGGCGCCATCTGTTACGATAATTTGTTTAAAAACTTTTTATATGTTCAAATATTATAAAATGTCGTAAAGCTTAATTATGAGCGAAGGAATGGCTTTTATAAACTATTGTAATTGCTAATCACGAGTGAAATAGTCATTATATCTGACCCTAGTAGAGATACACACTACGTCTTTCTCTCACTTCACCCCTCTACCTTTAATCACCAAAATTTAATAGTATTGATCCCACATTATAAACATACCTTCCTGCAAAATTTCAAACTTTTTGCAGTTGAGGTTTTGTGGCACAAAATTGAAGAAATTTGTATCTCACATGCACACACACTTTCTTAAAATGCTTTAGCCGTTTAGTCAATTACAGGAAAGATGCTTGTGTGACGTGTTGTATTGAGTGTATATTCATTTTGGTATCTGTCTTTTAAATTTCTTTGATAATACCAATTCGAATTGTGTGCCATACGAAATAATCAATATACAAAAACCTACAAATGTCAAGAAAAATTAATCAAATGCATATACTGTATGTTTGTCACGACTGAATTATTAACACAGGCAAAAAGAAGAAAACAGTGTTCATTGTGTATAGAATAATGAAAGAATTCGGATGGTTGCGGCAAACTCGATTTATAGAATTTTTTTTTTAATTTATGTCAATCCCTGTTCAATATTAAATTATTAATGGTATTTGTAGTGTAAAAAAGATCAAGTAAGAATTTTTTCTCTTGTGGGCTTTAAGAGAGTCCTTTTAATCCTATAGAAGTCGATTGAAAATGACTGAACAATTAAGGTGACATCCTACATCTCTGAAGGATTCGAGATCGAATCTTGGTAGTCGAAAATTCATAGGAAATCATACAGTTGTCGTGCGGCCCGAATGTCTCGACTCCCTTCTCTGTATAATTACCAGCTCAATCTTTTCTGGGTCTGATAAAATAACCCTATTAATGCCCTTAGGACAGAAGATAAAAAAATTACTAAATTGTGTGATCGGTACCGTGTTGCATAATTGAGTTTAATAAGTAAATATATTGATTGATATACTGTATACTATTGTACATTTCATATAATTGTTTCATAATTTAGAGATGACGATTAGAGGATTGGCTTGGATTAATGAATTAATGAACGTAACATATTGATGGTCCGTCAAGGATGGATCTCTCCCTGAAGCACTTTCTATGGGAAACTGGCCATACATAGTTATTAGATATGCGAAGCAGTGGCGTGCCGTCATTGGAAGCAGTGGAAGCGCCGCTTTCCTTGTATTTTCTAAAATATAAATACATATTGCGCAATTATTTTCATATTTTAAAGTATTTTGGATTAATTAAAATTAATATTTTATTATAACCGCATTGTGTATCTTATTACAAATTTCTATACTATATGTGAAAAAAACGATAAGATTGCTATTGTATATTCGAATATAAATTCGTGTATGCATATTTCCAACTAAAGCTCTTTATTGTCGAATACGGGACAACTTCCACGGCGAAGATATTTGAACGGTGTAAAGCAGCCAGATTGCACGCATTCGCCCATGTGCTTTACAGACCACCAACCTCTGGAAGTTTAGCTGGTGGATGCTACATACCAAAACATCGTATAACGCTTCCAGTAATTCTATCCAGGGCTGTTAGCCGCCTGCTTGCTAAATATTTGGCAGTCCTCGCCCCATTATGTGAATCGCGAGTAGATTTATAACTTAACTTAACCGATAGGAATTTACTAGTATGTTTTTATGATAGTTCTGTATAGTTGACAGGAGTTTTAAAACCATCAATTAAAATATTTGATATATTTACTCCGCTCTCCCATCTTGTATTACTTACAGATTTCAATGTTAAACTAGTGATATTACGATTTAGTATGTCCCATCTGTAAGGGGATGCAGAAAAAACATGTACAGTTCTTGTATAATGTTAAAAAATTAACTGTTATTTTGGCAGCATCATTTACAACTAAATTTAAGGAGTAGTTAAATAATTAAGAGATTATGAAATTAGAGACATAAATAAAACCCTGCTGAAAGAGCCGGAATTTTACTTAAAAGCTTAACCGAACTAATAACTAGCCGAGTACAGTGGGGATTGATTTCTTCGTATTAGATGTGATAAAGACAGAAATTTGAATAGTTGTAAATTTTGGAAATTTCCGAGGACACCACCTGGTTATAAAATGAATTAGTTAGAAAACAAATGACGGACAATCTATTAACATTAGTAAATAATATAAAATAAATATTGAAAATTATAACAAGATAGTTACGGCTAATAGATATACTGTATTATATCTAAATTAATAGATGTTATATGTTTTTTTTTTTTTTTTATCAAAGCAAGAATTGGTATTTAGAGGGAATTTATCGAATCTAATAACAGGGGTAATTATATTGAACTTGTTTATTTATTAAGTACGTCAGATAATCTATTAAAAATACATTTAGAGAAGTCTACGGTTTTTTCTAGCTTATCGAACAAACGAATACGAATGGACCCTAGAGGGCCTAGACTAGGCCAGGCCAACCCGCGTCCTGTCAAGTTAAATTATGTAGCCCGCTAAGCGATATTATATATCTATTAAAACTTTTGTTTCTCATTATGTATATACCAAAACTATTAAATAAATGAAATTTGCATGTGTCATTGTTATAATGAGCAAGTGCGAGTACGAACTCTTGATACAAATTAATAAGATTTTATTGTTATATTTGTTTTACTTTTTAAAAGCAAGTTTGCCTAAATTGTGGCCCACCGTAATGTTACGCGTGATCAAAGTGGCCCGCGAAATAATTTGGGTTGGCCAGGTCTGGCCTAGACTATCACTGACGCGCAATTAATTGTCCCTGGAAGTCGGCTTTTTACAGAAACACAGCTTCCCTATCATCAAATGTCACGGCACGCCACTGACAACAACAAAATTCATTTTTGCAAGAATTTGGTATTAGGATGTCAGTTAGAAGTACAAAGTTGAAGCTTACTGAAGAGATATTAGACTTGAAAGAACATCATGTTCATCGATAAAGTTATTGTCGGGAATTGTAAACTCATTGCGTACTTCGAGTCACACGTTTTTGTATCCTCTCATTCTGTTGAAAACTAAGAGAGTGTATTTCTATTCCTTGCCGATTTGATCAGGCCCGCAATGGAAATGCCTGGCGAATTCAGAATGGTAAAGGGCAAAATTTGACATATTCATCAAACTATCCATAAAATATCTGCAGATCGAGCAGAGTCCTCCAGGTCACAGACCTATGACAGAACTATGTATAAAACGACTAGAATATATCTGCATGTTTGGCGAAAAAGACCATGCTGGCAACGTTGGTTCAAGCTGTTGCCCAAGTCGGTGACAGTGTTCGCTGATGTGACATCAGATCAGAACAGATAAATGACTATAAACGAAAAACTTGAAAATTCATAAGTCTGAAACATTGTAAGCAAATATAGTAGTTCTAAATATGATTAATGTATGACCAATACAGAGGCACCCGTACATTGGAGCATCAGGAGCACGTACCCTCCTCTGTCGTCGGGTTGCTCTTTTCTTAATTCCCAAGGAAGCTCTAAAGTTTCATTTTATTTTTAAATTAGATACTCATTTTTATCACTTTTTTACTGATGACAAAATTAAAATAACCGAAAATTTGTCTTAACGAGTCGTGATTGTTCGGTCGAGTATCGAGGTACAGTACCACTGTATTTGATTAATACGATTTTGATATACACAGTAGCATCGAGAAATTATTGATTGAAAATAAATTATTGATTACTTTAATAAATATATTTTTCTTAGTAACGATAAAGGATATAGTATACTTTTGTTGACCTTTGAAATTTCTTTTTAATAGATTTCTAATTATAATTGCTTCAAATTTTTAAAATTTCTTTCGTAACTCAAGCATACACATATCTTGGAAGCATTATATGTAAAATCTTCTACTTACTTGTAGAAAAGATATCGGTTAAGAGAAGTAAAGCTTATTGACAATCTTAAAAATTATCTTCTGAAAATAATTTGCTCTGCAAAAGTTATCGGGATTATTAAATACAGATTCTATTGTTTTCGTAAATAATTACGAAAACAATAGAAAACTTTTCGATTTCTTTAATTAGGAAAATGGGAAAGTCTTGTCTTGTATGCTTCATTTATCCACTGATCTGTACAGGGAAAGTATTTGGTGTGGATTGTTTCATTTCTTGTTGCTGTAAAAAAGACAAAGTTTCCGTTTTTTTAATTTGTATTACTCATATTATCGAAGCAATTATGTGGGTCAAAGTTATCAAAAAATTGCTCTCATCGCAACAATGAACTCCCCGTGTTGTGATAAGCAATTCGGTTTCAGCGGTACTTACGAGAAACAAGGAGCATGCATTTCATTAGTACTTATCGTATATTCATTAGTACGTATCAATTTAGCATTATCAAGAGAAGAAAATTGTAGTTTCATTCTCCGAAAAGTTGTTATCTCGGAGAAAAGCAGTTACTAATCCAAATGAACGAATATCTGTTGAAAATTTGTATAATGTTACAATAATAGTAACATCTTTTGCGTCTTCTACTGTGTTATACTCTGTATTTCTTACAAGTAGCAATCAAACAGAAACTCCTGATGTTCAATATGTTTATCAATCTGTGCATTTTATGCTGTAGGTCAAACATATTCAATTCTTGCTTTATTTGTAATGATTTTTAATATATTTGGAAAGAGATACACGGTAATATCAAAGGAACCAGCAGCAAGAAGAAGCAGTGATGCTTCATTAGAAAAATTTGTAGATGATTTGATGCATAAACATTTGGAAATACAGAAGTGTTTAGATTCACTTAATTAATAATCAATGGAATATATTACTTCCTGTGTGGTAGGTCTTCATATATATACTAATGGCTTTTTATTGTATGCAGCGATATTTATCTATATTGCTCCCATAGTTAATTAAGTTTCAGGTTATAATAATTTCTATAATAGTTCTAACTATAAATATTATCGTTTAGTAGCGAATATCAACTCTTACTTTATTGGCGAGTATTTTTTGTTTTAATACTGTACTTAAACTTAATACTTCTAAAACTTTTTATTTATTTCAGATGTACCTTCGTGGGAAATTTTTCTTCTCGTAACCTGACTTTGGAGAAGAAATTTATGGTAATAATAAATTATTTTCATTTATTCTCTCCGTCCTACGAAGACATTTTTTATACCCATCATTGATTTGGCCAGGCCCTGCCACAACGGAGAAGGCCGGGTAACGAGGAACGAGGCCCTATATGCAAGACGAACACTTTTCGAAAAATAATCAGTTTCTTCCCTTCCGGACTCGAACCCGGACCTCTGGATGACGCTGGACGACGTGTCATCGGCTTACCAGAGGAGTAGGCCGATGCCACGTCATCCAGCACAACTTATTCATTGCATTATTATATTATACATATTATACTTTTATGTATACATTTTTTAACACACCTCGAAGAAAAACATTCTTTTAGAGAGAAAATCTGTATACATTAAATACGTTGATAGAATTTTATTAAAATAAATAAATAAATAAATAAACGTCATGACGTAATCAATTTTAATTGACAGGCTGGCAACGTCCGGCGTACTTTCTTTAAAATTGTGCTGAACGAGGTACTTGTTGCCAGAACTTCCGTTTAGATCAGGTGCCAATAATTTTAATTTATTTACTTTTAAATACTTATATACATAAATAATACAAAAATATCTCGTTACGGCCTTCGTCTTTTAAAATTAATTTATTTATTTACATTTCCACATATTCGATGGAGCGCCACTCTTGAGGCCGTAGTTATTCACGCTCGGTGGATTTTTCTCCGTTTCCGTTGTCAGAATTTACCAAATTTTCGCATTGAAACTGTAAAATTCGCAAATTTCCTTCGGCAGAACCCTACCGATTTTTGTGTCGACCGTGTTCAATATCGACAAAATCAATGGCAGGTAATGACAGCTTCCACTCGAGAATCAATATAATAATCTGTTGTACCTGACGTTCGTTATCTCCATTTTACGTCACTGTCATTCTTCCAATAAAGAATCGTAAAGGTTTATACGTCATAGAGAGAAAACTTACTTCGGTGTTTATCTATGTTTTATCGTGAACATTTAAAAAAGAGAAAAAATTTCTTAATTTACATTTCAAAATTACTTTCGTTTTTCTGCTAACTATGAGGAAACGACACCGAATCTGTCCTGTCTGAAAGATACGTCGATGCACGAAACTGGGTGCCGGGGCCGACGCGCCGAAGAGACGTCTCGCCGGTAAATGTCTGCTTTTGCCACCAGGATTACTTTACGGATGTTTGTCTACTCTTCGGGGTTTGAATTCCGATGCGGCGTGTGTTTTCGAATGTGGATACTCTTCGGAAAGGCCAGGATTGTTCGGAACGTCCTCCGTGTTTTGCGGTCTCTCCGAGGTGTGAAATGGAGAAAAGGAATGTTCTACTTGCCACGAAAGGTGTTTCTGCCTTGATTGTTGTTTACTTCTCTAAATACTTTGTGTGTCGATAAAACTTTTACATTACGTTATTTTTACAGTTTAATAGCTTTTTACTCATTCTGTGATGGCACCCAAATTTTTGTGCATTGACGTGTCTTTTTAAGGTCTTTCAATAGATGAGGTTTGATGTTGTAGCCTTCGTCCCTAATTGGATGGTGTCCTTTTCTTGTTTGTGTAAAGCAGATTATTGTAAAATCTCTTTGCCAAATTTCAATATTTTTATTTGGCTTCTATTGACATTATGAATCAGAAACTTAATTCGGGTGCATTGTCTGGTAAAACGGCTTTAATACAGCTGGATAAGCAAGTCGACAATGTACTCTGTTTCAAATGGAACAGGTTATACCACAGCTGTATTAAAGTCACTTAACCAAGCAATGCACCCATTGTTTTCATAAATTGCTGTAAACAAGTTTTTAATAAGCTGGTCTGAAACAAGGAATTGTTTCAGACCAGCTTATTTAAACATTCTAGAATTATTGTGAAATTATGATACAGAATGATTAAATTTTTTGTAATCCTTAGTTATAGGTTTCTTATTTATTAGCGAGGTTGCGGCCAAAGTTTTCAATGCAAAATCATGAACATCGGACATTCAGCACCGCCTTCCTGTAAGTCTAAAAGTTTGACAATGGCATTTGGAACATCAGTGGAGGCATGCTCAACGTTCCAAATGCCATTGACAAACTTCTAAGCTTACAGGAAGGCAGTGCTGAACGTCCGATGTTCACGTTTTTGCATTGAAAACTTCGGCCAAAACCTCGCTAATGAGGCAACCTCTTTTGACTTTACTTTACTGGAAAGGAGTAGAAGGCTCAACCTTACAGCATAGCCTTTGAAAAGAAAGGATGAAGAGTTTAGAGGAAGTGAGAACAAGGAAAAAAAGAAAAAAGACTAATAGAAAAGTATAAAACATGAGACCTCAGAGCACCAGTCGGTTCCATTAATTGAAATTAACAAAATATACAAAATATGGAGCATATCCCATAAGCAAACAGTTGAATATAAAGGAATTACAGAAAGGCGTGGATGCCCAAGGGGCTGCCTCTGGTGAGGCAAGTGTGGGAATAAACCTCTTTGACTGCTTAATATATAAATATGAAACAATTCTTTAGTTACCAGAGGTCGGAAATTTGATGGCAGACAAATGCTTTAGCTCTTAGCTTTAATTATTTATTATTACTATTAATATTTTAACTTTTAAATTTTCATTTTAAGGAAAAAAAATCCAAAGTCAAAAAAGGTCTCGAATATTCCTTCGTTATCTAATATATTTCCCGTAACCAGGGAATTGTTTAATGTTTCTAAATTAACAGAGAAGTCAAAAGAGAATGATTCAACAAATAAAATGATGAATATATTTTTTCCCCTGTATCAGAATTTTATCATCATCACCACAAATATTTAAATAAGTTTCAAAATTTTTATTTATAAAAAATAAAATAGTCCAAAGAGAGAAATTTGTGTATTTGCAGTGTGAGATTATCAGACAATGGATTAAACATTTCAATGATTTCTGCTTCTAACACAATAAAGAGCTATAAATTAAGACACTTGGCGGTTTTTCTCATCTTTATTTAGTTGAGACATGTGAAAAAATTACAATGATGTTAACACAGACATCAAAGACCAGTCCTATAGTGGTTACCGGCAGACTGTCTGCAACAAAGGCAGACTTGATGCTCTCATACCTTCCTGTACATAATATCACTGCCACTTAAAATAATACAGCATAGTGCTGAGAGCTGATAAAATGTAGCAACATGACCAAAGTAGAAATGACTCTGATGCAGCTAACAAGCAGATTCATCAAGTTGATTGGAAAGTTTCTTGATACTTCTACAAGATTCTCATAAAAAGCACAGGTGAAATGCTCCTCCAATAAGTAGGAAAAATGACCTTGCAGAAGTGCATTGTGAAATTATTCCTAGTGTATTTATAGAAGTACTGTGACTTGTATTCTCTAGAAGTTTATTCACAAACCTGGTAGAAGAAGTAACATAACTTGTTAAAGATGGAGAAAATGATAAGCATTTATAGAAAAACTAATATTAATAATGTCTAATAAGTCAATTTAATGGTGTTTATTAAGTGTATACTTGGGTCATTGACTCAAATGTTTTTGACAAAGAAAAATGTCTTCAGGAAACAATTATAGAACTAAAACAAAATATTGCATGCCTTGCAAAATCAAAACATCAATAATGAAGATACATCTTATAAAATTAAACAAACTGTAAAAGTGTATATGATATAACTTATAACAGGCAACATCCTCTAGTGAAAAAATGAGCTAAAACACTGGTAATTAAGAATTTATAAATGAATAAGCAATAAAACAAACATACAAACATCAAAAAAATTCAGCAGAGAAAACAATACTTAAATTCATAAACCAAACCATTTTAATTGGTCTAGATTTTTTGGTATTTGTGTGATTGTTTAATTATTACATCCAGTTATATGAGTTGTTTATTGATTTATGAACAACCAATAATCTGGCAGATAATACCTAGGATGATTGATAGGTCTGTGTTTTGTTAATAATGATTCCAAAACAAAAACTTTCTTTGAATCAGAGATTTGTTTTAGTAAATCTAACTTTTCTCCAGTATGATGCATAACTCATGATGATATGTATTTTGCAAGCTCTCTATCTTTCTGATCCTTGGTAATAGAATTCAGATGATCTACTTGGACTTATATCTTCATGGTGAATTAAGTAAAAATCAGCTTGTTACTAGTCATTGCCTTCTGGAATCTTTCAGGAATCAATCGGGAATGCTTAACATTCATCTGGTACAATCTCCATTAGGATACCGATTTTAATGTATGAGTTTATTTAGTCAAAAAGTGATTTTTGTCTAGTTTGGCTCAAATAGCTTGTACTAGTATGTGGTCAGATATTATTACATTTTGCCTATCAATGTATGAAGCATCAACAGCATGGAGAAGCTGTTATTTCAGTCACTTCAATGGGAAATGTCAATTAAGGCTGTTGAATTAAAGTATGTAACAGCAGGGCTTGTCTGGAGCAAGTATTGATATTTCTCCCATGGATCAAGTGCCAAGATTAGATTTTTAAGTAAAAATTATTATAAAATAATTATGATTCTATCACAAAATAGCAATGTCTATCCGTCTAAAGACTTTACAATACAGTATTGATATGAATAGTTATTGTATACATAGAAGAACATGGAACTAGAGCTGCTATATAATATCTATTTCATAGCATTTGTATTGTTTTTCTAACTTGCTACTTAATGAAAGTTATCTCAGAAACATAAATAATTTGAAAATTTGATTTTGTACTTACGGTATGTCTAAGAATTATGGGAAATTCGTATTACTAGTGGAATTTTTAATAATAAATTTGTAATTTATGAGGGCTAATCTCTAAGCATTCAAAGAGTATTATTTGCATTTAATGTTACTTGCAGAGTTTGGTCTTCATCTCTCTTTTGCTTGTAATTCTTCAGTTTTTCAGCATTCATAAAGTAAAAAAGATATTCCAGAATGAAAAATTCAATTTGATTGATTATTTTTTGAAGACAAATGTATCTGATTAGTGGTATCTTTATGACCTTTCCTGAGCACCAAATTTCATCTTGCAACACTTTGGAACAATAAATAGAATTTGCTATACACTGTCAATATCCTTCTATGGATTTCAGCTGCTCTGCAACTCTCCACAAGAAACAGCACATCAATTAGTTTTGAATCAGTTTAGTTCCGGATTCAGTATTGTGGCAGCCCTCATTTCCTTTCCAGTATAATGCAAATCCACATGCCAGATTAACACACTATTTGGAAATGTAAATTGTACAATTGAACAATTCCAATCATATAAGTTGCTAAACTATGGATGCAACAATTAGACTTCTTAGTACTACCTCCCCTGACTTGGCTCAAGCCAATACTGTTTTACTAGAAATTAACAACAAAAGCATAAGAAGATAGGATATTATCATCCAAAAAAATTTAATCATCTGCTTAAAATTACCAAAAAGAAAAGCATTACTAATCATTTTTTTTAGATTATTTCAAAATTTATGACACAAAAGTAATTTTTTACGTTAGTTGCAGTCATAGTTGCACCATGTTTCTTGAAATTAATAAGAATCATTCTTGAACATTTTAAAAGATTGTCACCATCACCTTTTCTATAATTATCATCATCTTATTAACCTATTTGCATGTTGGTGAATTGGAATGTTTTCATGCTGTATTTTCCATTTTCATCCTAGTGAAAGGTAATGCATCGAAAACCTCTTTGCCTGTGGCCAATGTGCAATATAAAGGTATCGTTGAGGTTAGCAAGATTTCTATTCTGTCAGGCTTCTGTTGGTTGAACAGTTGCTATGAAACCAACCTGTTGCATACTTTCCAAAAGCTCAAATGTTTGTGGGCAGTGCCATGTAGGAGATTAAAGTGAATCTGTAACTGCTTCATGTGACTTATCTGTTCTTCTGCATTATTTCATTAATGGCATTGACATCAGGTGTTGATGGACAATTACTTCTCTGCAATTCACATTTGTTTGACCATTTGCCAATTGGCATCACTATTTCTGAGTTGTTGGATGCAATACAAGTCAGAAATGCTCAATTTATTTGTGGCTGTATACAGGTTCAGTTTTTTCTACCCATGAATATCAGATTACTTCATGTATCTTGCCCTTTGACCATGCATTCAGTATTTTTGATTTATTCTCTTTTCTTTCTGCCAAATACAGTAGTGTACAATTTTAACTTACTTCATATACTAGTTATTTGATTTTATATTCTATTGAAACTTGCTTTCTTTTCTTTTAATAATAATAATAATAAATTTTTTGTTAAAATTTTCTTTTATTTCTTACATGTTTTTTAATGTATAAATGAAAATATATTTTTCAGACAGACAAAATGAAGAATGAATATAGGATATGAAGTGCCTAACAGTTCACGTTCTCTGAATAAAAATGTATCCTTTTATATATTCTAAAGTTATATAATAGCAATATATTTAATTACTTGTTTAACTCTCCATTATCTGGGCAATAAAAGGGTCTTTTTCTGTATCTGTCATGGGTTCAGCCTGGCTTACACTGGGAGCAACTGGATGAAAGGAATAGGGCCTGACATAGTGTGGTTTTTCAACTATTCAAATTCAATTCTAGATCCTTCAGAATGGTGGGATGATGCCATAACCATTTCAGCCATCCAGCTATCAATACAATTTTCCAAAATAAATGTTACCATTTTAAATTACTGTAATTATTTTAATGATTATCCAAAAAGTATGCAACATACACCAATCAATAGAGTAACCATTCAAGTTTCATCTACCATTTACATACAAACATCTTTTTGTCTGCTGTCTCTACAAAGTCTCTGTAAACAAAAATGGTGGCTCTACAACAGAGAAGACATTTTGCATTTTGCAGTGCACATAGTTGGAATCACTCATCATTGTGCATCACAAGTCATCTGCAGCAGCCGTAGAATCTTGGCTGCCATGGGAGCAGTGACAACACATATGTCATAGCAAGCGCAAGAAGAATTTGAGTATCAGTTTGATGTGTACATTGAGAAATTGTAATGAAACTGACAGTTTTGTGACACGTATGTTACAACATTCTTAAATAATAATTAGCATAATTACAATAATTTAAAAAGGTAGCATTCTTTAGAAGATCCTTTATTTAAGTACTATGATATCATCATTAAAATGTGATTTATGGATTTAATAAAAACAAAATCATTTAGGAAACAATATAAAAATGTTTAGAAAATTAATTTTCTATAAATGGTAATACACAAAGATGCTAGCAGATGAATGAAAAGAGAATCAAGTTATTGTAATGGAGATGTTAGGAAGTAACTCATTCACAAAGCAAATACGTAAAAAGCTGTTTTTGTTTGTTATTTAAAGTACAATGGTGCCTCATACTTTGAATTTCATTCATTCTAGGAGGCCATTTGAACTCTGAATTGTTCAAAGTCTGAATCAATTTTTTTCTATTAGAAATAATATAAATTTAATTAATCCATTTCTAGACCCTAAACCCAATTCCCATTTCATTAAACTTAAAACAGCAAATATGTATAATTTAAGGTAAAAATTACACAATTAAATGTATTAATAGTAAATTAAAACACAAAAACAATAAATAAAATATGTAAATACTGCATGATAAAATGAAAATTGCATTTACTATTCACATACCAACAATTTTGGCATTTTAAATGTTGCCACCAGATAACAATGTACCATTTTCATACTTTGTGATAAGTTCCTTTTTGATCTCAATCGTTGATATTACAGCCTTCTTACTTGTTTATTGCTTCTACACACTTCGCTGATTCCATGGTTAATAAGTAAAAGTTATATGTATTGAACAAACTATTTGCTTATTTTTAACAGGTCTGGTACATAACATAGCAGTTATGAAATTTAACACATTATTGCTAACGTGAGATTGTATTCTTTGTTTAGAAGTTTATTCTTTGAGCTCAATTTTTTCATTACATACACAGCTCCATCTCTAAAGTGGGCTTTAATATTCCTCTGCTCAGGGTTTGCCATTCATAACATAAAAAACAACCAAGACGTATGTAAAATGTCCCTCCTCCGTTCAAGTAGTACAAGGTACAACTGTAAATCAGTTTTTTGTATTAATGTTAATAAGTGTAATTAGCTGTTACATAATTAATATAGATTAATTTTAATGCTGGCTGTTGCTATCATGTTCAGAAGTCTCAAATTTTTAATGATCTAGTCAAATACAAAAGATATTTTTTTGTGTATAACTTAAAAATCTGTGGGACTTGTTAGACTCAGAAAAAATGGTATTTTTTTTTTTATATTGAATTACCTTTATTGAATGCATTGTTTTCCATTCAATAGTGAGCATAATTCAATCAAGTTAAGCCCATTTAAAATGTGCAGAGAACTGTTTTTAAATTTTAATAATAAATCATATTAAACAAACATCACGAAACCAATAAATCTCTAAGCTATTTAATTAGAAATTTCTAATTAAATATAATTGTGGAAAAATAGTCCGATGTATTCCAGTGATTGTTTGGCTTTACAAATCATATTAAATTTAACTAAAAATTTATCAGTTAATTACAAATTAAGAAATTAATAAGTTTAATGAGCATTAGATCATAATTACAATTAACTTTGATTTGAATTTATTATCATTATTATGGGGAAACAGGTGAGTGTATGCTCAGAAAGTTAAAGAATAGCCACAGAATACTAACTCTTTTAACATGGCTAGCTCATTTTATTTTCCTGACTGTTATGTATACATGACAAGGGAAAGTATTGAAATTGTGTCAAATTTCACCCTCTTAGTTTTTTGTAAATCTCATGTTTTGAGACCTCCTGAACCTATAAAAGTAAAAAAAAAAGGCAAAAAAAATTGTTTTGATATCTATTTTGCTTAATATCTCAGAATTGGGTAAAGATTAAGAAATGAAATTTGGCATGATGGCTTGTACATAAAGGGCATTGACACTATTAAATTTTGGTGGTGAAAGATCAAGAAGGTGGAGAGAAAGAGGGGGGTCATGTATCTCAAGATGAATAGGACTTGGTAAAGATTTTATTCATTATTAACAGTGTTTTATAAAACATGGCCCTACCCTCAAAATTAATCTTTGTCATTATATAATAATTAAAAATGCAAAACAAAAATTTATAACAAAATCTCATAACAGGTGGCATCACACACAATTTATTTATTATGATTAATAGTATAAAAGTTTTTTAAAATAAAATCTCGTAGCCTGGAAAAGTTACGCAGCTTGTTGCTAGATTTTTCTGTAAATAGTTCATGGAGGAATGTTAGTGCCAGAAGTTCTCTCTATTGACAACCATTCTGGAAATGGGTGGCAAAACTCCACTACTGCTCTTTTAGGGTGCTATTATTGAATATATTTGTGTTTAAAATTTCCTGACTTCATGGCACATTTAAAATTTTTGTTTCCTTTAGTGTGATGTGTAATGCTGTAATTAGGAGTATTTTCGTGAGAATTTATTATATAATTTTGTCTAAAAACACTAATTTTTTTCAGTGTTAATTGAGATCGTAAATTATATTTTAATGAATATAAATTATATTATTTCTTTTGAAAATTTTTCTTTAACACGATACAGAAAATATTGCAAGAAAGAACGTCTTATGGAAGATAAACAAGAAATTTAAAAGAAAACACAAGATTTTTTCCCCCTTCTTAACTTTTTTATAGTTTAAATTAGCATGATTTAGTCTATAAGTTGCTATAAAAAATAAATTTTTTTCAGTACCTGTAATCAGTGTAATGTTTCTTGTGTGTTTAAAAATACAATGATCATTTCTAGGTGTAAAATATAACTCTCTTTGTTTTTTGAAATGAATTATTTCAGATTACTCCGACATATTCAAATTCGAGCAACGTAACGAAGAGTATAAAGTCGATAAGATTTTATAATTTCACAAGACTTCAGTTTGAAATTATCTCTCTTGAGTAGGCCTACTTCTTATGTTGGGTACGCATTCGAGCATGCACACGAATGAGACATGGTGAGGCTGTGCGGAATTCCTCATTTTGCCTCGGGCTGGAGATGCCAATGCTTTGAATGTCGAGGCAAATATTTGGCATTGTTCTGTACCTACAAATGTCTGCTAAAACACAACAATGCCAAGCATGAATTCTCTTTGATAGACTGATGGTGTTTTGCTCGGCCCGAGATTGTTTTCCATGCCTCGGACTGACATCCACATTCATGTGACATTACCATATCTCATTTGGGTGTGTACCGAAATGCTTACCTGCCATTTTATCTAAAATTTTTATTGGTTTATGATATATTTAAAATTATAATGTCACAGAAGAAGTGCGTGACCCTGAAAAATTCAAAAAATAAAATTTAAATCTACTCGAGCCGTGTAAAATCACAACTAGAAATATGAGTGTGGTTCTATGGTTATATTATGGAATCTTAGTGTATTTAGTATATTTCAAATTTTTATACTTCTCTAGTAGATTTTATACAAGCATATATATTAATTATTTGACATAATTATTTTTCAGTATTGTTAAAAAAATTAATATATATTACTTATAACAATCTATATAATTAAATAAGTTTTGATGGTCATTCATTTATTTAAAATATTAAATCTAAGATAAAAATATTAAAGAAAACTTAGAAATTATTATATATTTGTGTAACTTTTATTGCTTCTTTGTAATAAAATTGAAAATAGAAGAAATTGCCGTCTCTATAGAGATTTTTTTTTTTTTTTAATTTTTCAAAATGAAAGGTATGTTGTAAAGTTTTTATAATTGACAAAATAACAAAGTTCATCAGAATTTCATTTAATTAATTTATTTTTTCTTCCAGATAAATACTATCGAAAATCCAAGCAAGAATAGCGAAAATTATCAAAACAAATTTACAGCCACTTCTTATTGTTAATATAATATTTTATAAATGAATAAATTAAATAATTATAATATAAAATTAGCAATAATATATATATACTACACCAATATTATTTTAATAATTACTCATATTAAAGAAGGTAAACGTTTAATTATTCGGTTTGAAGAAATAATATATATATATAAATATATTAGTGATATAAAATTTTTATTTCATTAAATTATGTCATAGATATTTTTCCAGGTAATATTTTGAATAAAAATTGTTATAATGAATATTTTTATATTTAAAACTTTTAGGAATATATAAACAAAATTAATTTTAAATTATGTTATGATTTAGAATTTCAGTCAAAGTCTACGGATGAAACTGGACAGAGTGATTCTCAAATTAACTTTAGTGATGGGACTTCCCAGGTAAATACTTTAAGAAATAATTTAAATTTATTATATAAATTTTTGTCTATTTCTTTTATTTTAAAAAGTTACCAGTTAATATAATTAGTTCAACTTAAAATATATGTTTAAAATTTATATACTTATGTGAAAGGCTGAGCTTTATTTGTCTAACTAACTCTCTTCAATTTCAAAATTGAGTTAACAGTGCCATATTTCCGTGTATTAGATATACAGGGTATTCCAAAAAGAATGCTACCATTTTAAATTATGTAATTGTGTTAATTATTACCCAAGAAGTATGTGACATACACCAATTGATAGAATAAACCTTGAGTGTTGTCTCCTGTCTGCATTTAAACATCTTTGCTGCCTCTAGGAAATTGCATAAACAAAGATGACTACTCCATAACAGAGAAAGTATTGTGTGTTCTGCAGTTTTCAAAGTCAGAATCAGTTGTTGTGGATCACTTCGAAATTGTCTGCGAGTGACAATTTGAGAACTGCAGAACACTGTTGTGGAGTGGCCATTTTTGTTTATGGCATTTTCTAAAGGCTGCAAACAAAAAGATGTTTATATACAGATAGGTGAAAAAATCTATCAATTAGTGTAATTCTCAAGTAATAACATAATTATTAAATTTAGAATGGGAATGGTAGCATTCCTTTTAGAAGATTTAAAAAATTGAAATTTTAGTATCATTTTTTACTAAATATTAACAATTTGTCACATTCTTGACATATAACAAAATGACATATCATATACATATAGCTATACCAAACACTCACAACATACAAAATATATATACAGTAGAACCTCCATTATCCGGACCTCCATTATCCGGATTTTCGATTATCCGGATTGTCCAAAATAAACAAAAATTTTACGAATTTGCTGATTTGCACTTGGCGAATTACGACACTGTTTATGTACATGATGGAATGCATAACTTTTTTTGTTTCAACAACGTCTCACCCAGCACAGTGGTCGTAAACTCTTAAATATATTTTACGTCGTAATAAAAATATAACTTGACAAACGTATTTATAAATAATTTATATTCAAATTAAATCATTTCTATGACCAAGGGCGGCGTAAGGCATGGACGACGTGGGCCACCGCCTATGCCTCGCGGTCCGAAGGGCCTCGCGTTTCGAAGGTTTATGCATTACTTAAAAGCCGCGAACGCGACGAAAATATTTTACTCGTCATAAAATGATAGTTTGTCAAATTTTTATTCATAAAAATGCAGTTTCAACTGCTTTTTATTTTATAAAATCCTTATTCTTGAGCCGCCAGAGGGCCTTTTAAACAATAGGTAGTCTGTTAGCGTTGGTCAGTAGTAGTACAAATTCAATACGAACGTTTGTTTCTTGAAAATCTGATCACGATTTAAATACAGTATTTACTTTTAATATTACCGATATGTCATCGAAAAGAAAACGTATTGTATTATCATTAAAAGACAAATTAAAGTATTTTTTCGATTATCCGGATTTTTCCTTATCCGGACTACCTTCATCCCCAATTAGTCCGGATAATAGAGGTTCTACTGTATATATATTGAAAAAATTAGTAAATACTCAGAATTTTCCATGAAATAAAGCTCCTGTGAAGAATAGATAAGGTATTTAACCTGTAATCCTTTCTTGCACAGGCATAAACCACATATACTATACAAAAGTCTAAAAACAGTAGGACTTCACAACTGCACATACATTACATGAAGAGCTGCCATATTAAAAATTTGTCATAGTTCAGAAATTCTTAAATACATAGACAAATAGTACATAACATAATGATAGATTATTTTGTAGTTAGATCTTGACCTTGGTCAGCATAGCATTAGATACCAGTATATGAGCCAAATAGGATACAATACACAAATACCATTATCATTTATATCCTTATCTATAGGTCATCTAAAAATTTACTATGCAGGGAGAAATTTGTAATTACATTAAAATTATACTGACGGCATATGAGACCTGTAATTTGTACGTCCCATGTTACTGCTTGCTCACAGATGTTCTGGTTTTTGGAAAACTTCTTTGATGATCGCATAATCTCCCATAAATCTAGCCCATTAGGTCTTCAAACCTCAGTCCCTTCATTTTGGGCTTCTGTGGGACATTTTCAGCATTTGCTGTAGGAGAAATTGCAATACAGGTAACCCCCATATAACACGGCACTTCTATAGCATGGATTCACTCTAACACGGTTCGAGAATTGGTACCATTCCCTGTATAACACGGTACTTTTATAGCACGGATTCACTCTGACACGGTTCGAGAAATGGGTAAAATCATCGTACAACATGAAATGTAATAAATTTTTACATAATTAAGTACTAATAGTTCACGAAAATTATGATTTTCGTGAACTATTAGTACTTCAGTGTGTAAATTTTCTTTTCTCATCTCCATACACATGGTCCTTTGCAAAAATTGTTTCAATTTTGCCAGATCTCGACGCTTCTGCTTCTGGTGTTGCCAGATGTTTTTCCCTTATTCCATAAGTGCTTAGCACCATATAAGGAAATTTATAAAGATCTTTTAACTAGAAGCAAGCAATCTAAAATTACATACACTTTTTGCAAAAGGTAAAGCATGAATCTGATAATAATGCAGAAAAATGCTCAGAGAATAACAATAACTTGCCAAAAATAAAACGCTCTCGGTTAATAGTGCTTTTAGTGATGACAAAGAAAACATTGTTTAATTTATATTAATATGTATCACTTAAGAAAATTTTAATAAAGATATTTATCTTAATTATGAAAATATACTACCATGTTTTTTAATTTTTGGAACCTAACCCTCCTTTTCGTACTAGTTCTTTGTTTCGCATAACACGGCAATATTTTGGAACGTAACTACCGTGTTATACAGGGATTACCTGTACAGTAATACCCCGAACTTACGCGATAGGTGGGACCGAGCGGTAACCGCGTAAGTCGGGGTATAATTTCGCATATAAATACATACAAATAATTTTTAATTGGGGCCGGAGACTAAAGAAAACAATAATTTAGAAAAAAATGTTTAATAAAATCTTAGATAATACATATGTATAACAAATTAGGCCTATATTATTTTACAATTTTTCACATTTACTTGATTATTACGACATAATTTTAACAGTATTTCCATCTCAGCGATAATACTGTGACGTTTATGAATGATGCTTGAATTTAAAATTTGAGCATTTTTCACAGCTTCGAGAATTTTTTCTTTGCCTTTTATAATTGTTCTGACCGACAATTCCGGTAGATCAAACTTCTTTGCAAATTCACAAATTTTCATTTTTGTATCGAAGTCTTTAATAATGGCTACGTTCGTAAAGTCAAACGAGTTAAACGTGTTAGTAACGAATCGTTCGAAAAGTCTTAACGAAATAGGAATAACGATGACGTCATTCTCGTTTAACTCATTCGACGTTATGAACATACCCAATGTTAACTGTACATTCCAAAGATAAAGTTTTTCTTTCAGAAGAATTAGTTCTACTTCGTTTGGATGACATAGTAGAGTCTCTCAAGTCTCCATAGATATAACAAACACAGAAATAAATAACACAAAATAAAATGTAGCTATGTGTGGATTCCGCGCGACTCATCCAAACATGTAAGCCGAACAATAGTGTGAGGGGGAGTGAGTATTCAAGGGTTGCGTGGCGCTCAAACAAAAGACGAATCGATGAGATTTGAAAATCGCTTAACTCCAGAATAGCGTAAGTCAAGGTATTACTGTATTATACATAAAATTTTATTTAAACCTTTTCCACCGCACAGTAATTTTTCAGATACCCTATATTGTTAATTTTTAGTTCATAAAAATAAAGTTTAACTGATTTTTTTAAATATTTGTAATTCAAATTAACATTTTGTTTAGAGACATTTTATTGTTTTTTTCCTAGAATCAACATATGTATTTCAGGATTTTATTCCTTTATAGGTATGTATTTTTCATCTGTTAATCTAGACCAGGGGTCACCAAACTACAGCCTGGGAAGTCAGTTCATCCGGCCTGCCGTCGCACTGTGCCCCAAATGAGCCAAAATATAATTTATATGGAAATATCTGAGATTGTAGATACACTTATTTTAATTTTTTCTACATAGTAAGTAAATACCAGAATTGGCCCAATCTGATTTTTGCATTTGACAGTGACATATTTTTTTTATGAAAATCAGTGAAATAAAAAATTTGGTGACCTTGAATATCAGAGAGCTTTTTGTGTAAGTACCTGCAGTGAAGTTTCTAAGAAAAGTGATTACAAGCTTTCTGCACGATCGTGTATTTGTATTTATACTAATATTATAAAGAGGTAAAGTTTGTAAGTTTGGATGTAGGATGTAATCATCAAAAAATTCTTTCACTGATATTTAGAATGGACCTTCAGAGTGGACATAGGCTGTATATTATTCCGTTAAACATTCATATAAATTGAAAGATATCATCTAGGCGAAAAGAAAACGTATTGTATTATCATTAAAAGATTTGGTGTCAGTGAGTGGCAAGGGGAAAGACGTGTATATATACGAGATAGGTAACCACACGGCGTGGTCAGCGTGATACGCAGTGCACATGTCCGAACTTGTGCTGAACATTTACCTATTTGTTGTCACTTCAAATAATGAATATCTTTTGTCTCGTATGCATTCCTAAAACATTCATATAAATTAAAAAATATCATCTAACTGATACTGTTATTGTCACAAACTGAATTCCATGCGGGCACAGCTAGTTGGTAAATAAGTATGTTGGTTGTCTTTATTTTTTGTGTATTCAGTGTACTGTATTGAACGAAATGGTTTTTTTAAACACTTTCCACTCTTTGGGCACTAAGAGGGTCTTTTAGCAAACCATTATGAGTTTGGCCAGGCCCACAATGGGGCGGACAGATGGTGAAAGACAGGACTCAACATATCCAGATGGACCCCCCCTGAAAAATTCCTGGGGATTTATCGACCTGTCCGGATTCGAACCCAGGTTCCCCAGAACAGTAGGCTGCCACCTTGACCGCTCAACCATCCAGCCATCGAACAAAATGATTATTCAGCCCGCGCTCGTCATTCTCTCAGTTATGTGGCCTGCTGTGAAAAAAGTTTGGTGACTCCTGATCTAGACTTATCATACTATGTCATATGATAAGTCTAGAATAATAGCTGAAAAATACATAACTATAAAAGAATAAAATCCTAAAAATAAAAGACTAGAAGCTATAAGAATAATGAAATAATTTTTTACAGTGGAACCTTGCTTAACGAGCAAAACAAATTGTAAAAAATTGCCTTGCTTAATGAGCGATGTTTCGCATAATGAGTGACAAGGAGAGGGAAAGTCCCAAATTGTGCGCATGCTCCATCAGTCTGTGTTTAGCACTCATTCCGCTAGCATCTTAGTGTCGCTTGTAATCACATATTTGTTCAAACTTGTGTTCACACATATTACTTTTAAATAGCAACAACCATAGCCCGTTATATAATGAACATGCCAAACAATATGCCAAATTCTTGGGCTATGTAAAGGCTATAATTAAATATTAGAAATTAATTAATTTGACTAGAGGTAGACAGTTATGCTGCCATCTTGTATTAAATTTAATGACCAATTCCAAATTAAATTTTAGAAATGTNTTTTTTACCTGATAAAATGTTCTGCCTTTTAATATTATTTAATTGTCTACATTCAATAAAACTCACAATATACACTATAGTATTAAATTTAATGACCAATTCCAAATTAAATTTTAGAAATGTCTGAATTAAAAATTAACTATAATTATTAAATTTAATATGAGATGGAAGCATAACTGTCTACCTCTAGTCAAATTAATTAATTTTTATTATTTAATTATAGTCTTTACATAGCCTAAGAATTTTGGCATATTGTTTGGAGTGTTTATCAAACATATCTTGATTTTTTTTCTGCAAATTGAGTTTTCAATCCAGGTTGGTTCATTCCATGCTGGAAGAAAAGATGATGATGATGATGATTCACGCTCCTTAACAATGCACATTGTACAATTTTCTTTGAATAAATGTTATACTGTACATAAAATATTGAGTAATTTTTCCGCGTGGAACACATTATCATATTTTACAATAATTTCTATGGGAAAAATTGTTTCACTTAACGAGTGTCTTGCATTACAAGTATGATTCTGGAATAAATTATGCTCGTTAAGCAAAGTTCCAATGTATTTCAGTTTATGTTATAATCAAATGTTTATACTAACTTTTAGAATGAAGAAAATAAACACATTCAGCTCTCTATTTCTGACTTTCTTGAAAACCTTGATGGCACATCAAGCACTCCGGAATTGTCTATTTCTATATCTAATGTTCAGAGTGTTGCGGACTTTGATTCTCTTAAGAATTGTTCTACTGCTTCACTACAAGAAAAGGTAAAAGTAATAATGATAATTTATAAACAACTCTATTAAAACTCAATTCATTGTATTACCAAAGCCAACCATAATTTATTAATATTATAGCCATTATTTAGTCTGATAACATATGGCAGTGGTTGGCTTTGGTAATAATAATTTATCTTGCTTCCTTGTAAAAAATAAATTTTGTTTTCCATAGATTATTTGTAACGTTTCAGTTACTATTATTGCATTAAAAATCCATTTCATTTAATTGAAATCAGTTCCTTCAAAAACATCTTAACAGCATTTTACTGTATATACATCATGCTATATATTCAATTATTTACAGTATTAATAGAATGCGTTTAAAGCAATCAATGCAAATGATAAACTTCTTATAAATAGTTTTTACTCTGTGAAAATATAATAACTAAAGTGCACTGAGTAATTCAAAAGTTTAAACCAAAAATATGCAGGATCTTTCAAAAAGAATGCTATGATTTTAAATTATTTTAACTATGTTAATTATTATCTTACATAACATAAGCATTGGAAACTGCCCTAGTTTCACTTTTGCCCATTACAATTTCTCAACACATGCACCTTGTGTCACAGGGTTCACATCTAACCAATACTCAAATTCTTCCTACACTCACTATGGATATCTGTCATCACTACTCCCATGGAAGTCATAATTCTACAGTTCCTTCAGGTTTCTCGTGTAGTACACTGATCAGTAGTTCTGACTGTGAACTGCAGAATACAAAACGCCTTCTTTGTTGCAGAGCCATTTTCATTTACAGCACTTCATAGAAGTAATAGACAACAATACCTTTGAATGCAGACAGTAGATGAAAGTTAGACTGTTACTCTATCTATTGGTGTATGTCACCAATAGATAGAGTAACAGTCTAACAGTCTTCTTGGATAATAAATAACATACAGTAATTTTATAACGGTAGCATTCATTTTGGAAGATCCTGTATAATTAATTATATTAAATATCTATATAATATAATTAATTCAGAATAATAACTAACTATTTGCAGTATTTCTATAATGCTTAGTAAATTATTTCATTTTCAGAATGACGAGTTTACTTGTGATTCCGACCTAATTCAAAACTTAATAGATAATTTTGCAACAGATCATTCAAATACATTAAAAATTACCAAAATATCCGAAGGTGATGGACTGTTTGGACCAAATAACAATACCGTTATATGTAATATTGAAGAGGAAATCAAGAAGGAGGTAATTACATATTTTGATAAAAACTTATATCCTTTATATTTATTTTTTAAAATATTGCTTCAAATACATTAATTTAAAATTCCAACAATATGTTCATACACAGAAAAAGACAATTTAAAAATAAGTTCACAAGATATTTAATCCTTATTCTAATAAAAGTAATATACAGAGTATTGCTGAACTTTGTTATGACGATGACAGTTATAACAAATTCAGTTATTGCAAGAAATCATTTTGTTTTTAATCAAAACATATTTTTATGTAAGTATTTAGTTATAACAAATTTAATTTGTGAATATAAATAATAAGAATTTTTGTCCTGTGTAATATATTTAATGAGTTTATCATCCAAATAAACCTTCTAATAAGCTGTTGAAACTATGTTAAAAGTGATTTGTAACTCATTTTTCTTTTACCTGATAAAATGTTCTGCCTTTTAATATTATTTAAATTGTCTACATTCAATAAAACTCACAATATACACTATATGTGAATTCTTAACATGAAGCTAAAAACAAAATTAGTATTTGACAATATCTATGAATAATTTTATTAAATTTATTAGTTTATTAAAAATTAAAACTGTTTATTTTTTGTTATATTAAAATGTATATACAGTGGTACCTGAGGTTACGAACGCCCAGCATACAAAATTTTCAGGATACAACATGAAATTCGAACATATTTTTGCTCCACGATACGAACAAAAACTCACCATACGACGTTACATTAGTTCGNATATATATATATATATATTTTAATATAACATATAAAATCTTGTGTATATATATATAGAAGATTTTGGATAAATTTTCTAAAATTTTTTGCATTTTAAAAAGATACTTAGTGATGAGGAACAGACTTTTGACAATGGATTTGATTCCGGAGAAGATTCAATAGTTGAAATTGATTCAAGAGGAGGAGAGCAAACTGAGATAATTCCAAATCAATCTTCCATAACTATTTCTGAAAGATTCCCTCAAGACTTGATGACTTTTACCAACGAAGATCCTTCAGCAGAAATCGTAGATATAGGTAATATTTTTTAAATTTCAAATTGCGCTGCTTTATTTCATAAATTCATTAGAAATCTTTTTTAACGCAGAACCTGAAAATCACAGCGAACCAGTCAAGTTATTTATGTGCTACACTTGTAAAACAGGATTTATACATTATTATGAATTTAAGAAGCATATTCTTACTCACGATACATTAAAACCATTCAGTTGTGATATCTGCAAGAAAAAATTTACTCGAAAAAATCATTTGAAAGATCACTCACGGCTTCATACTGGATACAAACCATTTAAATGCGAAAGTTGTAACCAAAGTTTTAGATGGAAAATACAGTTAACCACCCATTTGCGAAATCACGAAGAAGATAAAGGAAATTTCAAGAGGCTGCAGCAGGCTTACTTAAGAGACAAGCCATTTGGATGTGGCTCCTGTCATAAAAGATTTGTAAGGAAGGAAAATCTGAAAGAACACGTAAGAATTCATACAGGTCAGAAACCGTACAAGTGTGAATTTTGCAATCAAAGTTTCATGTGGAAAAATCGACTGAAGACACATCAGAGGACCCACATGGAAGAAAATCTATTTAAATGTAAGATTTGTCAGATGGTATTCAACGAGATTGAGAGTCTGAAAGAACACGTAAACATTCATGTCGAAAAAGAAACGTATACTTGCAATATTTGCAACGAAATCTTTACGCTAGAAGAGGATATGAGGAACCATCTCGAAACTCATTCGAAACGCTTCAAATGTGATGTCTGCGATAAAAGATTTACACACAAAGGTAATCTTTCTAAGCATGTGAAAATGCACACTGATGAACAGTTGTTTAAATGTGAGATCTGTAATCGGAAATTTAATTATAAGTGCAACTTGAAGAAACACGAGCTAATCCACAACCGAAGCAGATCGAGTAAAGACAATGTCCGCATAACACGAAATCTAGCAAGAAAACAGTTAGATTCTAATTTAGATACCATATAACTTAATTATTTCAATAATTATGATTATTTCAGAGCATTAACCATTGATGATTGTTATAGAAAATTGAAATTAATGAAGTTAAACACGGTAAATAAATTTTCAAATACTTTAATATAATTGTTTGTGCGGTATACATGCGTAATGTTTTTTACGTAAACTTACACAACTACACTTATTATTTCGAGTGTATTTAATTTGAATTTAAACTAAAAATCTAATTATAATTTTTATTATGATAGATCATAATTTATTTCCTTTAACGTGTTTAACTTCGTTAACGAAAGCTGTATTTTCGTTGACATCTGGACAATTAGAAATACTTGTCTTTAACATTTTTATAAAAAGAAATTGTGTATGAAGAATTTAAAATTGTCTGGTTTTTAAAAAGAAACCTTGTGGTAGATGTATTTTAGTGAATATTAAAATTGTAAACCCAAAAATTTTATTCTTTTTTTTTCATAAATATTTGTTGATACTTCTATGTAAAAATCTACATTCTTGAATCGGACATATACAGGATGTCCAAGTCGCGCACCATAAGCAAATTAGACATTTGGTGTGATTGCCATCCTGTTATGCACCAAGATTTAGACGAGTGATTCAATCATTCACACATTGCAAGATGCATGGAACAATTAGATCTTTGGATACCAAAAAGGTAATAAATGCTGCTTTTACTGTGATTCCAGATTAAGTGGACAGACTGCATGAGGATTTAGTTACTCATAACATAGTCAAGATTGCCATAATTATTGTGGTTTGTGGCCAACACAACACACACTGTCAGCTGCACATCCAGTCTTCTTAAACTTGGATCTGTTTGGAAATACTTACCAGTTCATCTGCTGAGACTGAGTATTACTGAAGATCGTTACCTATAACGTTTGCGGTGATTTACCGGTTTTCAACAGACTGCATAATTTAAGGGTGGGCTAGACCANCGCTATTGTATCGTTAAAAATTAGAAAATTAAGCCTCGTTTAAATACTGGCTCCCTTTCATGGTCGATCCAGTGTTGCCAGCTAAAACACACAAAAATAATATTAAAGTAGCCAAGACATAGCCAAATATAGCCAAACATGTAGCGCCACATCACTAGCGGACATTTGAAATTTGCCGACTAGGAGGGTCGGATAATCGAGGCTCTACTGTACTTCTATGTAAAAATCTACATTCTTGAATTGGACATATACAGGATGTCCTAAGTCGCTCACCATAAGCAAAGTAGACATTTGGTGTGATTGCCATCCTGTTATGCACCAAGATTCAGACGAGTGATTCAATCATTCACACATTGCACATGGAACAATTAGATCTTTGGTATACCAAAAAGGTAATAAATGCTGCTTTTACTGTGATTCCAGATTAAGTGGACAGACTGCACGAGGATTTTGTTACTCATAACATAGTCAAGATTGCCATAATTATTGTGGTTTGTGGCCAACACAACACACTCTGTCAGCTGCACATCCAGTCTTCTTAAACTTGGATCTGTTTGGAAATGCTTACCAGTTCATCTGCTGAGACTGAGTATTACTGAAGATCGTTACCTATAACGTTTGCGGTGATTTACCGGTTTTCAACAGACTGCATAATTTAAGGGTGGGCTAGACCAGTGGCGAATGGTGACATCACCGCTACAGACCAACCAATCAGTAAATTTCCAGACATCCCTTAGTGACCAGTCATTCAACGGTGTTATGAAGTTGGTGCTGCACGGGACATTTATGGTTGAACTCCCGCCACCTCATTCTGTGCTCATTGGGCATTAGGATGAACTCAATGCATTTTCTTGCATTAATATTAACATGAAATGATAAACTCCATTACAGTTTCCGTAAGATTCGTTAAGGAATTCACTAGAATCAATAAAACGATCATTGGTACTTACACAGTATCAAACAATGATCGTTATGTTGTTACTATATAACTGAAAGGTATGAAAAGAAAGGGGTTGAAATCTAGGAGATATGGACGTGATTGGGCTGGAAGAGCAAACCAAATGAAATGATTTTTAATTAAGAGAATTGAATTCTCGTCATTTATATAACGTGTTTATATTATGTTGAAAAAGAAATGACCCAAGCGGTTAAGGCGTCAACCTACTGCTCCGGAGGATTCGGATTCGAATCCGGTCGGAGAAAAACCCTAGAAAATCTCAGGCAGTTCGTCCAGGATACGTTCGGCACCATCCTGGTCGAATTTACGATGTTTGTGATAAATGTCTTCGTAATACCCGAATTTCGTCGGCAATTTATTTTGATTATAATTGAATATTAGATTTAATACTTAATTGTTGGCAATTTTATCAAACTTTTAATATATTTAATTAAAAAATATTAACTGGATAATTATTTTAAAATTAAAATGATAAAATATTTGTAAGCGCGCATCTACTTAAATTCGATGTGTTAATTTAAACCTTTTTTCTAATTTTTATAATAATTTTCTGTTCCTTTAGAAAATAATATAATTTTTATTTTAAAAGTATTTTAAAAATTAAACCAAATATTTAAAAGAAAAAATTTCGAAACGATGATAAAATTTAAATTTTTCATATACCCTTATGACGTAAGGGGGCGTTTTTACAGCAAATGGCGACGTAAACAAGTATAAAGTTTGAAAATGTCTAGTGAAGAGGTAATTAGCATCGATTATTTATAATTGTACGCATTAATGTTTATAAATTCAGACTTAAAATATAGTTTAGTTATATATAAAACGTAAAAACAATTTTTTTTGCGAAGAATATTATATTATAATATCTGTTTATGAATAACTTGCAATTGCAGTGGAAAAGTGGATAAGACCACTGAACTCGGTTGGTCTGGTCGTGGGTTTGAACCCGACCAACGGGCTGGCCACGTGGAGTTTCCCGGATTTTCTTCACGTGTCTAATATAGATACGTGAAGAAAATCCGGGAAACTCCACGTGGCCAGCCCGTTGGTCGGGTTCAAACCCACGACCAGACCAACCGAGTTCAGTGGTCTTATCCACTTTTCCACTGCAATTGCAAGTTATTCATAAACAGATATTATAATATAATATTCTTCGCAAAAAAAATTGTTTTTACGTTTTATATATAACTAAACTATATTTTAAGTCTGAATTTATAAACATTAATGCGTACAATTATAAATAATCGATGCTAATTACCTCTTCACTAGACATTTTCAAACTTTATACTTGTTTACGTCGCCATTTGCTGTAAAAACGCCCCCTTACGTCATAAGGGTATATGAAAAATTTAAATTTTATCATCGTTTCGAAATTTTTTCTTTTAAATATTTGGTTTAATTTTTAAAATACTTTTAAAATAAAAATTATATTATTTTCTAAAGGAACAGAAAATTATTATAAAAATTAGAAAAAAGGTTTAAATTAACACATCGAATTTAAGTAGATGCGCGCTTACAAATATTTTATCATTTTAATTTTAAAATAATTATCCAGTTAATATTTTTTAATTAAATATATTAAAAGTTTGATAAAATTGCCAACAATTAAGTATTAAATCTAATATTCAATTATAATCAAAATAAATTGCCGACGAAATTCGGGTATTACGAAGACATTTATCACAAACATCGTAAATTCGACCAGGATGGTGCCGAACGTATCCTGGACGAACTGCCTGAGATTTTCTAGGGTTTTTCTCCGACCGGATTCGAATCCGAATCCTCCGGAGCAGTAGGTTGACGCCTTAACCGCTTGGGTCATTTCTTTTTCAACATAATATAAACACGTTATATAAATGACGAGAATTCAATTCTCTTAATTAAAAATCATTTCATTTGGTTTGCTGTTCCAGCCCAATCACGTCCATATCTCCTAGATTTCAACCCCTTTCTTTTCATACATTTCAGTTATATAGTAACATAAAGATCACGAATTCCTTAGCGAATCTTAGGGAAACTGTAATGGAGTTTATCATTTCATACTAATATTGATGCAAGACAATGCATTGAGTTCATCCTAATGCCCAATGAGCACAGAATGAGGTGGTGGGAGTTCAACCATAAATGTCCCGTGCAGCACCAACTTCATAACACCGTTGAATGACTGGTCACTAAGGGATGTCTGGAAATTTACTGATTGGTTGGTCTGTAGCGGTGATGTCACCATTCGCCACTGGTCTAGCCCACCCTTAAATTATGCAGTCTGTTGAAAACCGGTAAATCACCGCAAACGTTATAGGTAACGATCTTCAGTAATACTCAGTCTCAGCAGATGAACTGGTAAGTATTTCCAAACAGATCCAAGTTTAAGAAGACTGGATGTGCAGCTGACAGTGTGTGTTGTGTTGGCCACAAACCACAATAATTATGGCAATCTTGACTATGTTATGAGTAACTAAATCCTCATGCAGTCTGTCCACTTAATCTGGAATCACAGTAAAAGCAGCATTTATTACCTTTTTGGTATCCAAAGATCTAATTGTTCCATGCATCTTGCAATGTGTGAATGATTGAATCACTCGTCTAAATCTTGGTGCATAACAGGATGGCAATCACACCAAATGTCTAATTTGCTTATGGTGCGCGACTTGGACATCCTGTATATGTCCGATTCAAGAATGTAGATTTTTACATAGAAGTATCAACAAATATTTATGAAAAAAAAAGAATAAAATTTTTGGGTTTACAATTTTAATATTCACTAAAATACATCTACCACAAGGTTTCTTTTTAAAAACCAGACAATTTTAAATTCTTCATACACAATTTCTTTTTATAAAAATGTTAAAGACAAGTATTTCTAATTGTCCAGATGTCAACGAAAATACAGCTTTCGTTAACGAAGTTAAACACATTAAAGGAAATAAATTATAATCTATCATAATAAAAATTATAATTAGATTTTTAGTTTAAATTGAAATTAAATACACTCAAAATAATAAGCGTAGTCGTGTAAGTTCACGTAAAAAACATTACGCATGTATACCGCACAAACAATTATATTAAAGTATTTGAAAATTTATTTACCGTGTTTAACTTCATTAATTTCAATTTTCTATAACAATCATCAATGGTTAATGCTCTGAAATAATCATAATTATTGAAATAATTAAGTTATATGGTATCTAAATTAGAATCTAACTGTTTTCTTGCTAGATTTCGTGTTATGCGGACATTGTCTTTACTCGATCTGCTTCGGTTGTGGATTAGCTCGTGTTTCTTCAAGTTGCACTTATAATTAAATTTCCGATTACAGATCTCACATTTAAACAACTGTTCATCAGTGTGCATTTTCACATGCTTAGAAAGATTACCTTTGTGTGTAAATCTTTTATCGCAGACATCACATTTGAAGCGTTTCGAATGAGTTTCGAGATGGTTCCTCATATCCTCTTCTAGCGTAAAGATTTCGTTGCAAATATTGCAAGTATACGTTTCTTTTTCGACATGAATGTTTACGTGTTCTTTCAGACTCTCAATCTCATTGAATACCATCTGACAAATCTTACATTT